GGAGTTGTTGTAGCATTTTAAGCGATAGAACGCGTTTCGTTAGAATCACTCCAACAGTTTGCTGTTCGCTAGCAATACAAAATTTGTCAGCTTCAATATAATTAATTTACAAATAAATATTTATGTCGGATTGAATAAAGCGGCCAAAAATAGTGCAGTCACAGGTGATTAAAGATAGCATTATTCTAATAGTTATTCAAATATGATCTTTGTGAAGCGATAATAATTCTGTATGCGTAAAGTTTAATATTACGTGCATGCCAGATGTTTCCATGGAGTAGAAAGCGGTATTAAATTACAGCGAAATCATGCTTAATTCCAATTATGCAGAAACTATATGTGTATATTTGATTTATTTGACTTGACTATTGTAAGCAAAATCCAAAAAAATCTGATTATACTAATTAAAAGACCATTAATGTGACCTTATTAATGTGTAATTGTGTCTAATAAATTTTGATAGAGTATTTGAGTTTTTCGCGAGCTATTCGTATCTTTAATATTATTTCCGACCTTTGTTTGCAATTAATCTGCGATTTTATGCGATATAAAGCTAATTTTTTACAATTCTGCATACAACTTATAAAAATGCAGGCTATAAATCAACACCCTGGCATAACTGCCATAAACGTAAATAGCGCTATAAAGATTAGAAATTAAAGTTTTATTAATTTTAACAATTCATTAAAATTACTAAATAAATAGACAAATTACATTTAAAGCTGTAAAAACTGGCGTTTCCTCTCCAAAACTCTTATAAATTACAATTATAAATTACAAGAAAAAAGGGATTGAGAAAAAGATATTCACCAATTGTTAAATAAGTTTTTTCAGTCAATTTCATATTTTAAAAAAATAATCAATATAAATTTAAACATTAACTATTTTCATTTAATTGTATCAATGATACGGGAAATTAGAGCCGTATCATAGAGCGTGCAATTTAATTTTGCCGTGTGTAAATATGTATTATATATATATATATATACATATATATATATGTATATACATACATATACATACACACATACATACATACATAC